TTGGACCTATAAGAGGTTCCTGATGAAGATCTTAAAAATCTGAACAGGGTATATTGTGTTAGTCCTCCATCAAAAAATAATGAAATGGTGGACTTATATATATATGGATTTATTGGCCTGCTAATAACTTTGTTTAATTCTCTTTGGGTCATGTTGCATGGAATGAAGGGTTACTCTATATGCATCATCCAACCAACTAATAGGTCATTTTGGTCATTTTAGCCATTGTGAGTTCTTATAATTGGTTATCTCATCCTTCCTGTGAAGATCTTCATATTATGCCAAAACTATTTGGTGTTTTATCATGAAAAGGAATAAACTACTTGAATATCTTCTTTATCCATGCACTAAAATTTGCAATTTGTCTTCTTATTAGTGGGTGCTGATTAAGATAGTATCATGCTTAAAGTAAGAATGTCCTGATTTAAACCAGCAGAAGAACTATATTTTTTTTTCTTTTATAGTTATTGTCTTGTGTTACCATTACTGCACCACTGGTTGCCTCTCACACCATAATGTATCCGTTATTGATTGTTTTTTCTCTCTGATGCAATACCTGCTAAAATTCCTGACATTCTGAATTATAAGTTAGAAAATAGAAACAATTTTCTATCTGTTGTTGCTGATCTACTGAAATGTGCTCGGTCTCTTTTTGTTAGCTTGTAGATGTATACAGGTTGGTCGAGGATCAAATAGATATACCTTCTGTTGCTTTGGAGGTTCTGCAAGGTGAAGTACTTGCCAGTCTGCAACTCAAAATATGTTTTTTGTTTGGTGGATCCTATGAAGTGAATGCTCGTATTGGTTGTTGATGCAGACTTGCCTAACGTCACACGTGATTTTATGCTTGCATGGAGTGATTCTGTCCTATCAGACCGGTGGTAACGGTGGCGATTGCACTGCAGTCTGGTATGCATCCAGGATCTTGCCATGTCCCAAGTTTTGGATTTTCTCACACCTCCCTCCCAATCACCTCTTTTTTCTTTCTATCTACTTATCCTAAACCCTTTCCTCACCTCACTGTATTGTAGAATAAGTTTTAATCTTATAGGCTCTAATATGTATAGTCTTTTTAAATGTATCCAAAGTATGCCCTTTTTTTTGGCACATTTCTTTGTACAACAAAGCAGATATGAAATACGAGTATAGTAGGCATGGTATAAGAATGAAACTAGTTGTTTCTCTTGGTCTTTGACACAGAAAGAAGTCCAATGCATATTATACTGGATCGAGTGATTCATGAATGTATTAGAACCTCTCATGTCTTCTACATTTTTGCTAGTTGTAGTCTGGATTAACGACGATGTGGATGAAACGTTAAAATATTATTGTCTCATTTCTGATGTGTTGTAATATTTTACTGTGCCTGACAAGGAAGATGTGGTAAATGGTCGATACGACTTTAGTTTAAGCTGTGGATTAGTGTATCGAATGCCATCAATCCACTCCATTACTAAGACACGTGGACCAGAGAACTGTTTATAAACGCGTTGGATCTTAACAGTTGGATCATCTTTAAATCATGCCAATGACTCGATTGTTAATCATGTTGTCTATGCATTCTTTTGTTTTGAATATATCATTTTGGCATCGTGACACTCCTTCCGAGTGTACTTTCATTATCATTTTTTTTTAATTGTCATTTTTTTTTAATCATTATGACTACTTTGCTTCTTTCTTTAGCACTGTTATATTCTCTCAATAATTCTCATTTAATCAATGAAAAAAAGACCACAACTCTTGTATGACCTTTGCCATTGTATTGCAAGTCTAATACCAACTCTCGTTTTTGCATGTGTAGCAATGCTGACCTTGTTTGTTGATTGTGTTGGGGCTCCCTCAAGCAAATATGAGTTCTAGAGAAATTTATAATATAGAAGCTCTAATCGGACCTCCATATAATCAAGTCTCTTGTGATACTTACTGATATGCACTTTGATGATCAACCTCTATGATACTATACATTTTTGCAGCCTTCAACTGATGTGAATTTGGTGTGCATACAAAAAATCAACGTACCATAGAACACACTCCTTTAGTCTATAGTTTTTTTTGTTTGTGGTGTTGCTCACTGAAGCATAGCTCCAACCTTCCTTTGTATGATTAAGTTCCTTACAAGACTCGCTAGTATGTCACTTTGGATCTTGGATCTCTATTCCTAGCATAATCTCTATTGTGTACTACATTTTAGTGCATTCATCTATTGCGACACATTAGCATATTCTTCAACGATGCCTTCCTTTGTAGCATGTTCTCTATGCTAAGGCCTTCTAAATATAACTTGGGCCTTCTCACCGTGGTTCTTCCATCAATCGCATCATAAAGATAAAGTGCGTGTGCATTGAAGCTTTCTTCGACCTTTGCATCATATGGGAAGAGTTATGCCTTCTTAGATTGTGAAAGATAAGGAATGACATGACTCTACTCTTTCTTTTATAAGTGTTTACGTTCTTGACCTTTATGTAAGGAAAGGACTAAGTAATTGGTGATTCCACTTTATGTTTTGTTTTCTAAGTAGGCTCTATTCATGTAGCTCAAGCCCTTCGCTAAGTCTAACTTAAGTTGCTTTGTTTCATAGTCTACATTGATATAGTTGTGGCCATTGCAACCACTATTACACAAGTCAACCATCCGTTGAGCTCAATGTCCATTCTCATAGTTTCATTATATGCCTTATTCTTTGGTGTCACTCCCCCCACTTGATCTCACAATATGTCTATCGATGCATTATTTTATACAAGATCATGTGACAATTTATTGCTCGCTCGATTACGATCTTATACGATCTCTAAGGAGTCTTTGTCTTTGCTACGTTAACTTCATCTCGGAAGACCATTGCAAGGGTCAAGTGGACCTCAACCTGAGGTGTTTTCTTGAAATGTGTGGTACCCACTTAAGCCTTTATAGTTTACTCGTGTCTAAAATAACTCATACATTTTAAAGAATGTAGCATATAAGTCTCTCCCATCAAGTATGAGTTAATAGACGTTAGAGTTTACTTACGTGACATGCTGACTCACAATAAACTATTAATATAATGACATATAATTTAAGTTTAAAAAGGATTAAGGTCCATTTTAGCCCTTGTAATTTTGACCATGGATCACTTAAGCTTTTATGATTTATTTGTGTCTAAAATAACTCATATTTTTAAAAACGTAGCATATAAACTTTTCCCATCAAGTCTGAGTTAACAGACGTTAGAGTATGCTTACATGGCATGTTAACTCATAATAAACCATTAATATAATGACATATGTAATTTAAGTTAAAAAAAACTGAGACCACCATCAATGGCGGGAGGAGACGTTGTCATGGAAGCGATCACTAGTAGCAACATCGAGTCGTTGCTATCTAGTAGGGTGTCATACGTACATAGCCTCTCCTGTGCTAACGATGAGCTCAGGAGCTTCCGATCTTACCTCAAGTGGATGAGCGTTGAAATACAATAGTCTCCTGATTTCTCTTCCTTCTCTAGGGCATCTTCGTTCCTACTGCTTCCCACTTCGTCTTCTCTTGTGCCCCCACTTGTTGCGCTTACGATGTGGTGGTCCATCTCTCCTTCACCTTCGCCTCTGACCTATTTTACCTTTGCCTCTCCGCCTTCGTCCATCGCTATGACCTCCGTCACTTCCTTTTCCTCGACAAGATGAACCTTAATCATTTTCTAAGCTTAAATTACATATATCATTATATTAAACCCCAAAGTTAGAGTAACCATCTCTTTAGAGAGCATTAAGGCTTAACACTGACCATATGGTTAAGAGGATATATGATTTGTGCGGTAATTGTTTAGTACAGTAATTCTTGAATGGAAAGAACACTAAAACTTTTAAAAAAGGGCTCGTGTCAGAACAACACTGGTCTCGTATATGGCAGATGTTATGTTATCCCCTGCCTACTCCTAACCATACAAATTCTAAATTAAACATGTCTAGTCTCGAGAACCTTCTTTTTTTCTTTCTTTGTTTTCATGTGAAAAATTGTGAAATATGAACCACAAAAATGTAGAAAGAGAGCTCAACCTCTTTCTTTTCTGCGTCACTCATTCTTTCCTGTGGGTTAATGTCTTCTTACTAAATCTCTTGGTTCTGAGTCGTCGTCTTCTCAGCTTTGCCGTCACTCTTGCAATGGCCTCCACGGCCTCGCCTTCCTTCTCTCCGCTTTTCTGTGGGAGGAAGCAGGCAACACCCGCACTGCGGCAGATGCACGTCGTCGCAGCAGCACCGGATTCCTCCGGCGAACCAACTCGAAAGCGCCGCGTCGACACCAGGATTCACTGGTCCAGCCCGGACGAAGGTTGGGTCGGGGGAAAGACCAAGCCCGACACCGGCGCTAGCGAGAAGAAAGAGTATCTGGGAGAAAGATTCGCGGATCTCATCAACAAATCGACTGCTTCCCACTACCAGTAAGTCCTGCTCACCGTTCCATCTGCCTCTCCCTCTCTCTCTCTCGGAGCCTTTCTGTCAGTCATGCGAGATAGCATCATCGTGGTAACGCATATCTGCGCTGCGATCAGATTTCTTGGAGTATCAGCAGAAGCGGACATGGAGGAGATCAAGGCGGCGTACCGAAGGCTGTCGAAGGAGTACCATCCCGACACGACGTCGCTCCCTCTCAAGGCTGCCTCGGAGAAGTTCATTCAGCTGCGGGAGGCCTACAACGTGGTGAGCAACGAGGACAGCCGGCGCTTCTACGATTGGACGCTGGCGCAAGAGGCGGAGAGCCGCCGCCTGCGACAGATGCGGATGAAGCTGGAGGATCCGTACGAGCAGGACTTGCGCAACTGGCAGTCCGTGCCGGACACGGTCGACCGCCTCGGTGGGAAGAACATGAAGCTGAGCGATCAAGCGATGACGGCCCTCACCATCGACATCGGCATCATCCTCTTCACCATCTGCTGCATCATCTACGTCGTCCTGTTCAAGGAATCATACTAACAAGTGACACCAATCTTATGTAAAGAAGTCTCACCATGCAAATAAACATGGATTACGAAGCTAGTAATTCGATGGAATGGAAGCTTCATATGTATCCACATTATGCTTCCCATCTGTGTTTGTGAGGTTGCTATCAGATCCTCACATGGACTGGAACAAAAAGAACATAAAAAGATTATGGAAACGACTGATTTCTCAATCCCTTTTTTGGAAGAACTAAGAAACAAGAATAAAAAATGCATTAATGTGATTTTGTAACAAATGTCAACGTTCTCAGATCATATAGATACTCCAAGAACATGTTAAAAGAAAGTTGGTACCTGTGTAATGCTAAAAGAACTTGACTCCATTGAATCTGGTTCCTTCCGTAGGAAGACAACAGCCAAAACAGGCATTGGAGGTCTAGACTTTGCCTGCAATGCAGGATATCGAAATCCAGTATGTCATTTGAAAGTGCATAAGACTGCCATTCCATGATGTGGCGACAGTGGCGTTGAAATGGAAAAGGATAAAAGGATCTTAAAGCTCTTCCTGATGATGCGAACAAACATTGGCAGCAGCCTTGACTTTTAATTGAGAGCGAACCTGGATGACAAACCATTGAAAGAGAAATTTACAAGTGACAATAACAGCTAACACGCATAGCCGCTGATGATGCAACATAATCTTTATGAGACATTGGTTCACCAACATAGTGTACTATTCTTTTGAATTGATGACATAGGTAACATACACACCAAAATATCAGGACAGTTCTAATTGCAGCTTGCAAACACCTCTTAAGAATAGGTTGCAAATCATGGATAGAGCTACAAAATCAGTCTCCAAACTATGATATTATTAGCAAACATACTTCAGCACAGATTTGGCCAACTATCCAAATGCTTCAACAGGATAGAGGCCTCACGGAGTCTAAGCACCTAATAATAGGACCAAAAAGTTTCATTTTGTTGAAGTCAAAAGACAGGACCAAAATATCTGTATCGTGAAGATATAGATGTCAACAGTGGTGTCAAGTCATTATGACAGTTCCAGATATGTTGCATTTTCGGAGGAAGGTCTATTCTTTAAGTTCACTCGAGAAAGAAAGATGGTCCAAATTATAGAGAAGCATAAAAACCATATGAAGATTGATTTTAGAGATGAGAGATGAATCAAGAAGGTGAATTTATTAAACAAGGCTTCAGTGCTTATCTCAAAATTTCGGTTTTGGCATATATCTGAGTGGTCAGGAGATTCTTTGACTTAAAGAGGTTCTCTAAGCTTTAGTACAAAGAGTAAATCAGATGCTGAGAAGAAGGATGATAAGTACCAGCAGCAACAAGTTCATTGGCACCTATAGCAAAGATAACATAAGATTAGAACAATTCAAAATTTCTAACTGTGTTTATGAAATGGAATATTATGCTCATCATACCATATCATATTTGCACTGACATATATAGGTCTACATAAACCTTGTAACTGTAAGGACCTAAACTATATCGAGGACAGATAAAGGCATTTACATAACAAATAGTTTCGTGCAGGTGCTATTCAGTTTTCATGTCTAAAGTATTCAAAAACATGTTAACTTAGAGTAGGCAGCTCCATTTTGTATTCATAAAGCTCAACGTGTATGCTTAAAAATGATGAAGAAAGATTTTGAAAGAGCAATCACATTACCATTCTGTAAGCAGGTTTTGGTTTATGTTCCATGAATAGCTAGAATTCCCAATCTTGCATAATGTTTACAGATGGTATATCCTAGCTGTATTTTTTTTTGCAACAAGCGATTAATTCCCAGATAATTTTAGACTAGAAATCAACTGTCATCTCCAAGTTGAGCCATCTAAATGAATGTAAAATAGGATCTAGTAGATTACTATATGCTGAAAGGAGAGAAACATAAGGACCACCACATTTAGCTTGAGAATCTAGCTACTAATGAGTTTCTTTAGTGGAAATCACAAACAAAACTACACAAGTGAAAAAAATAAATGGGTATGCATTGAAGAGAAGGGAAGGGCTTCTAGAATCAATGGCCTGCTATCTTGTAGCACAACTCAAGGCAATTGGAAGAGCAAATGACCTCGCCCTAGTTAGAAGATGGCGAGGATAGTGAGGCAATGAGGACAGAGGGATCTAAAATCCTAGACTAATCATAAATTCATATTTAATCAAAAGAGGAAGTTAACAAATTTCCTCTGGAGAATATAGGTGCAGAAAGCTAGTTAAATCTTTATTTGAGATATTAACTTTGCCTATTCTAATGAAAACCAATAAATAACAGTTTTGTAACATTTATGTTTGAGTTTATATTAAACAATATCAAGAAAATCCTCTGTGAAGCATTCAAGAAATCAGACAAAATCAATACTTAAATGGTAAAATTTCCAACTGATCTATCTTTAAAAAGAAGACAGCGCAGTTTTTCTGCAAATCATACTTTAAGAAATCGAGCAGCAGTCTGAAAGAAAGATGTAAAAGCAAGGGAGAAAATTAAACAGCAAAGTCAGTAAAATCAAGGAACAAAGCAACATAATTGTCCTTAGCAAAACTAAGATTTAGTTCGATGATATTCCTTCATGTTTGCAGCGTTCTAACATGCTATGTGCGTATGGCTCATTGCCGGCTCGGCTCAATGTAGATATATTGCCCAATTGGCACATATAGTTAAACCTGCTGTAATGCAATTTTTTCCTAGCCAACAAAACCCTTCAAACAGTTAATTTGACACTTGAAGTTGGCATCCAAGTACCATGAAAGCTGAGCATACTGGATGTGGTTTTTTGATGGGCTCTTTTCATATCTCTCAAAACAATAACTGTGAAATTTTTGATGACGCAAATTTCACAAGAAACCCTTGATCAAATTCCTCCACCATCCAGAACACATTGAACAAATTTATTGTCTTCAATTTTCTTCTCCATACGATTTCTACAAGACTAATGACTGCAATATGGTATCATACAATAAAAAAAGTAGAGACTAAGAGAACACGTGAGAGAAAATCGCTAGAATACAGAGCAATTAGCTTGCAGAAAAGCAAGTTACAGAATAACACTTATCGACCGACGAACTCAATTATCAAGTCCAGATTAACGAAGAATATATCCTCCAACAAGGACCAAGAAAATACCACAAGCATATTAGGAATTGATGTACGACTAACACAAATGCGTCAAAAAAGGGAAGAATCGAGCCCAAGAAGCGGATGAAGAGGAGGGAGAAACCTCACAATCTTAGAGGGGAAACATCGTCGCGAGCCGCACGGCCTATCTGCCCGCCGTGCATTGTCGTGGGCTAGGGTTCCGGTCGCCAGAGTTCGCGTCTTCGATGAGAAAACGTGGGAGTCGAGATCGGATTCCGGAACAGCAACGAGAGATGCGCAGCTCGGAAAATATAGCTTCCCCTGCCGCTGAGATGCGTGGCAGGCGGGGCCCAACCGATGGGTAAATTTAGGGTCACAGTGCTCTCCGTCATCAGACGGTCAGGAGAACCCCGATGACATCCATCAGCTCGTGTCGCGGATTTTGAGGAAAGGTCGGCAGAAGGGTCGCCACAACCACCTGCTGATACCGTTGTCATGGTTTCTTCTGAATGGTTCTTTGCCTCTGTTGACCTGATGAGGCACCTTGTCAATACAGATCAGAATGTCAATCAAGACACATTAATATCCTGTTCAGGCTTGATCTATCACGTCACGTCAATGATAATGTCAGACGTTACCAGAAGTACGATCCTGCTCCATACGGACCGGCACATCATGCAACGGTAATTCTCATTATAAAAATCCCCGTGCACCGAAAAGGAGGGAAGGGAAAAAGAAGGGAAAAAAAGGGAGAAAAAAAAAGGAGAAAGGAGAGACAGACACAACTTGGCTAGAAAAAAAGAACCTTCCACGATCACCCACTGACTTGACTGTCGGAGGGGTCGGGCCGAGCTCCCCGACCCGACCTTTGTGCAGGTGTGAAGTCAAAGATCCCCACTGAATGCGCAGGCAAGGAGTTCTTGCCCAGAGGGAATAACGACCCCGTCCCATTCGGAACATCGTGATCGGCCACCTCAGCAATCGGGAGGAGCGTCCCAGGAAGATCCCCGTCATCCGGACCCGAACCAATCCGCGTCGGTCCTAAGGTCACGACTTAAAGTTGTTTACACTAACAGTTATATGTAAGGTTTCGGATGGTTGGCAGAATATATGGAGGCTTTCGGTCACCTCTCTCTTTTGGTGGAATATTCAATTGGTTTAGTTTTACTCCCATTTTTCAGCTTTCAAACGTCGTATAAGACTTTTATCTTAGTTTAGATTCACAATTGTAGCAATGACGTCTGAGGCTTATGTGTTTTGCTGCCGTTGTTTCTTCTTCGTATGTCGATGGTTTTGGTTGATTAAGATTGCAGCATTCTCAGGCAGTGCAGCACCATAAGGCGGATTGCACGGAGCCATGCAAAGCAGTCTGACGGCAATTAATTGATTGATATGGTCCGATAAGATAATTGATCCCCATTTAAAATTTGTGTATAATGTGAGACGATTTTTATTGTCTCATAATTGGTGTGTTTAGATTGGGAAGGATGTAATTGAAATAGCTGGTTCTCCTTTCAAAAAATCAAAATAAAAATCTGAAAAGACAAGCTTGAACTGATACGTTTCTTTTCCTTCTACCAAATCCAAAAGCCACTTTTGGATTGGCTCTAAATGAGCGATTCCATGAAGATCTCATGCTTTAAATACTATGACTAGTTTTCATAGACCAATACTATGACTCATGAATTAGTGGGAAACATTAGGAAATCTCCACCACCTTGCAGACATTAGGAAATACTATGTCTCATGAATTAGCTAATTTAGGCAATTTTGTTGCCACTTAATTGATATGTAATGAAATAGTTGGTTTTCCTTTCTAAAACAAAAATCTGAAAAGATGAACGAATCATTCCCCTTTGCCTTGTACCAAATTTATTTTTGATATTGCTCTAAATGAGCGAGTTTCCTTTAGATATGCTTCCTAAAATAATTATATTTTCCTCTATTTAAAGGCCAATCTCCCTCCTCTCACATGCACAAAAAGGAATCCACATCGGAAACAATGGCATCTCGCTGCTCCACAATGCTGCTCGCTCTCGTTCTCTTCTCCCTCGTCATAACCCCCGGTACGTATTTGTATTAGTTCTAACATCTGACATATGTCTATGTGCCTTGCTACTGTTTTTTCTTCTTCGGTGGTTTTTGTCTGATAAGTTTGATCTGATGGGGATTTGTAGCGTACTCGCAATTCAATGGCTGCACTATTCTTGGAGAAGGATGCAAGAATGACTCAGAGTGCCTGATTATATGCCAAGAAGAGGGCCAAGTCAAGTCGTACAGCTGCATTCCTGATCCGACCGGCCGTGATCGAGGCACAGTTTGCTGCTGCAAATTTAAATGATGATCGGGGGAAGCGTTGCAATTAAGTTTGCCCATCCAACATCTTTAACGCACATAAAAACAATCCTTTAGATTGCTGTTGTGTCTACTTTAATCTTTTTGGCATCGAATAAGATAGCAGCAAGAAGGTTTGTGTTTTATCTGGGTTGTCATCTATGATGAAATAGTCACTATTTTCTCAATTGAGTAGTTTTTGACTGTGGTTTTATCCAAAAAATGATTTTGAAAGTGTTCTAAACAAGTCATGTGGCAAGCTACATATGACAGTAATTAAAATTTAATGTAGCAGTATTAATGTGGCAATTAATTATAGTTATTGGGTTTGCAAGTGACAGATCTTTAGAAATATACAAAATATAAATAGTACAAAAAAAACTAATTTTAACAACAAAAAATTGATAAAGCAAGCAGTTTCTGTGGTTGTGGCAGAAAGGGGGGGAACAAAGATGAGAAGAAAGACGAAGGGAGGAAGAAGAAATCCATAGGATCTCTTTGATTTATACATGAATCATTCCGTCCATGTTATTGTGTTGACTATTCTTTTGTTGTGATGAAGGGGAGAGGGTCAGTTCAATAGATTTGGTCATCCATGTATAGGTAAGCTTGTTATCTGAAAAAGGATCATCGCACCTTGTTGATGGATTGAGATCCACATTCAGGCACATATATAGAGAACAAAAATTGGTATAAGTTTCTCATAAATTTCAAGAAGTTTGAAGCATTTATAATCCATCAAATGAAGTTAAAATTTTAATTTGCAAAGGATCACATATGAAAAACAAGAAAATCTAAGAATTAATCTTAGAAAAGATCTTGTCTCGATCCATGCCGCCGATTACTCCATTCGTCCTTGGAGTGATCGGTTCATCAACGAGCGCAACGAGAGCTGCAACTACACCAGCGTTGCCTGCGATGGTGGGTTCAGTGTATTCTGGCCTGTTCCTTATATCCAGGAAGCCTTCATCCTCATCTGGACCAGCCACCACGGCCCCAAGCAAGACATTTGGGTTGGATTCCTTGGCGTCTCTCCATCGTTTGCCCTGGGAGCAACTGTAGTTATGGCCATCCCAAGGGATCGACGCAGCTCTATGGTGGACATGTTCTGGGAAGTGGTCTCCAAATCCAACCAAATAGCTCATCTTCATAGGGTTGTCACCCAGCATGTAGTTCACCTCAAGCATACCACAAGCGTAATGTTATTAGTCTATTATTTGAGGTTTGCATGCTAGTTGAAACTGCGCTTCTTTGTCAATCCTCTTTGGTGTGTGACCGAAGTTGAGGATGGAATGCAAACCTACCTGTGATCTAGCAAAGTTCTGCAGCCTTTCCCGGGAGAAAAATTCAGAACCACAGCTTGCACCTGGGATGTTAATGATGTTAAGATAGTCACCGTAGATTTTACTGAGGAAGGCAGCAGTTGCTGCGAAATGGAGTGGTGCACTTTTATTAGGCTGCAGGATGATCAAGCCACCTGCACAAGAGAAGCACAACAAAGTCGATCTCATAGTTGAAATATCAATTATGATTGTTCATATATGACAACCAGGTTGTGAATGGTGTTGAACTCCCTTTACCTGGTGTCATGCTGAACTTGTTGGGCGTAGAAAGATACGAGCATATGATCATATTAGCCATATCTGAGCAAGTCTTTAGCGTTGGCTCATAAGGATTGCCGGGGTCACGAAGATATCTCAACCTGGTTAACAAAACCTATAAATGTATAGTCAGAATTATAAGATCAAAATCATAGAAAGTTTTTATATATCCAGCTATCCAATGCCATGAACGTTACTGCATTGGCTGCAACTTTGTTGTTCCAGTAGAAAACCCCGGAATCAGATGGTAACGCTTCCTCCACCGCCGCCTCAAAATTCTCGGTCGCATACGATAGGTACGTAAAGTTTCCGGTGGCAAGAAATAACCATGTGGCTCCCCAGACCAGCTCGTCCTTGTAGCTGGAAGAGTTGTACAAGTTGGCTGCTTGCACTCCACAATCTTTGTCTTCACTGTAGGTCCCTTTGATGTGATTCTTGGTAGCGAACTCATATAGTGTTTGAGAGGTTTGAGCTAGTCGTGTGGAGTAGTTGGAATCCTCTTGATCAAAAACTAGAGATGCTGCGGCAAGTGCTGCAATGATTTCCCCTGCTAGATCCGAGGTCGAGCTTTTACATTTGAACACGGGTCTTGGATATGTCATGTCTTCAGGCCTTTGCCAGCACGCGATGTCATTATCAACTTTATCATCATCATTTGCACCTCCTACCTAGATTTATAGTGATAAAGATCAGCAGTGATGACAGTAAGATTGCACTTATGTTTCGGGTCTTCAAATAACCTAATTAAGACATGCAGTTGATGAGTTCATCCATTGATTCACCCAAAGTTGGGTACTCAATGAAGTGATCACGAGAGATACAAATACTTTCCTGAGAGAACAGAGATTCTGGTTCAGAGCTGGAGGTGGATGTGATGAGCAGTTCGAGCAAATAATCGCTTCCCCACTTGATGATGTCCATTACATGTTCGAGCTGACCGATCGCGGCGTACTTGTGACTGTACTCAATCACAGTCCAACTTAGCAGAGTGATGGTGTATGCTGTAGTGAAGCTGAACTTGATGTTGTTCCCAGAATCATAGAATCCTCCAACTAGACTAGTATTGTCTTGTTTCCATTCACCATCATGCAGACCGGAATTACCCCGAAACTTCACGGGATTGCTCTTCGGAAGAAACCCAGCTGCAGGTTTGACGACGTAAATAGATTGCTGGAAATATAAGTTGATGATGGAGGAAGATGGAGATGTATTACATTTCTGAGCATCGAAGAACAGAAGAGCATTGTCCAGAGCGAGAGGAAGACCGCTCAAGGAGCCACCACCAGCATGTTTACGAGTTAACAAAGCTGTCAACAGAGCTGCTGCGGCAGCGACGAGGATCAAAGAGATGACGATATAGATGAAGCGCTTGAGGTGAGACTTGTCCTGTACGCTGAGCCTAAAATCATAGGATTTGGTGTACATCAAGGGGGAGGCTTCCTTGGAGTATGATGAAGTTGGAATCAAGCCGAAGTCGACTTCTATAGAATTCCAGCGGCCCGCCGAAGGGAGAAGTCGGCCGGCTCCCGAGATGGAGTGAACATATGCTTTAGAGCTCTCCTCCATAACGGCTGATCAGCGAGCAGTCCCAAGCAAGAGAGAAGAAGAAGAAGAAGCTACGGAAGTAGAGAAATCATGAGAGCAGAATGTATGTGTTGAATGATTCGGATATGTACGTAACTTGTTATTGCCCGAGAAGATGGATGACGTAGAAATCGAGGGAGTGCTAAGATTGTTCCAAGGTAAGTTTGTCTCTTGTGTCAGGCACGGCGAAGGATCGCTGGAGAAGAATCAGAGTAGCAAGTAGGGTCCAAGAGAAGATGTTATCCTTCGAAGGGTCGGTGGAGAAAGCAACAATGGCCTTCCATGATGCGGAGTTGCCATCGGAGAGGCTGAGGATGAAATGGCAAAGACAATAATCGTCACTCGCCTGCTAGTCTCTAAGAATGACGAATTAGAGAAGTCTCCAAAACATCTCAATCACATCAGACAAAATTAAATGAAAAAGACTATCTAGGAATCCTGGAAATGATCCTAAGTTCCGGGGATCAACAATGCACAAATAAATCAAATCAAGAATTTTAATGAATTATTTATCTTGAAATTACAATGGACTTAATAAACGAAGCAGTAAAGATTGTAATTCTAGTGCTTCTTGAAGACTTGAGCACTCTCAAATGCCTCGAAGACATTCGTTGCCTAGAGGAGAGATTATATTCATGTATTCATGATGTTGTAATGCACAAAAAGTCTCAAATGCTTATTTTTATTTATTTTTAAATAAAGGAACTTTTATTGAATTAAAAAAATATGAAAAATTGATCAAAATAAGTTAATAATATTACATTCATTAGACTCATGTAAATCAACCTTAGTCATATCCACTTTCGATGTAAGACTAATCAGGGTTATTACAAGAAATCTAAAAAGAAGTTAACAATTATGAGACAAAATGAGTAATTATATTGTAAAATTCCCTGGTCTCAATTGAAGGGTCTAAAGCAATCATTCTTCTGAAATCTGACCTCATTTTTATTTAAATAAAGGGACTAAAAATCATAACTAGTAAAATATAGAATTTGGGAAGCCATGGCCTTGTTTAAATCCTTCCCCTTCCCTTAGCTAGGCCCCCATAGACTAGGAATTAAGAAACTGAAATTAGATATCAATTTTATCTTGGAGAAGATTCCAAAAGGAAAGAGCAATATTTCAAGAATATGTGAGAGGCAGAATCTACATGTAGTTTACAAATAGAGCAAGTGTCAGACTAGTGATGGAGTAAGTGATCAAGGAGAACGCAGGTTGGAAGCCTATTATAGGAACTTGCAAAGGAAAATTTTAACCTTCACCTTCTATCCTTGTCATCCCTCCTCTCTTTTTATCTGTTCTTAGAAACTGATAGACACTGCTGATGGATAGAGAACCCAAAGGATTGAGTGGCCGAATCTACTTATCATCATCGGGGCATCGTAGAATATGAATCTTACGAATTCTTTCAATCAAAGCAGGTTGAAAATGCCGATATAAAATAGAGACATTCTAGCTGTTAGAAGACATCATATCAAAAACTATATGAAAACCATTCTCAACAGCCTTTCCCAATATGATCTTTATGATGGATATGGTGGTATGAGGAGTGAGGAGAGAGTGGAGAACATTTATGCACCAACGTTGAGTTTCTTCTTTTTCTTTAGTCAATGGTTTACAATTTTCAGGAAATATTATCCGAATATTTCATGCGAGGAATTCCCTAGTGGGGATTCGTAGAGTACTCATTACATCAAGATAGCAATTGCAATATTCTTAGGCCATGCAATGCAACAACAAAACATATTACAATGATAGACTATATCATCGGATGAGAACTTGGACCTGCTGGGTTAGACGAATGAAAACCTTAGTCATGAGTATCATGTGCACCAAATTCCCGACCAAAAGGGATAATCTTAAGTCATCGAATAAATAATTAGCACAAGGATTATAGTAGAGTGTGAGTTTATCCTATGATAATTTTGATCGAAATTAAATTTGGACTTGTATTAATCCCAATTAAACCTTATTGTTATCAGTCAAATCTAATTTTGGACCAAATGCTTATTTTTGACCGACCTAATTTAGTCAAGCTCAACTTATTGGACTTTTAACCAAGTCGGGTATTGGGCTCAATTCTTTACTGCTCAATTCTTGTAGCCCAATCTAGGATGCTTAATTAGACTAGCCTAATTGAACTAATCTATTTTGGTCTATATATTGTATTAAAAAAATACATAATTAAAGTTATTTATTTTATTATTTTATTCATATTTATGTATATACATAGTATGCTTTTATGTGATAACATGATATCATCTATAATAAATTTATATTTAAATCCTAATTTTTTTTACTTAATAATTTAATCTTATAGTCCAAATTAAAATAATGATATTCTCCTCTATTCAAGGCCCTCCTCACTCCTTTTACATGCACAATTTGATGAGTACCTAGATCTACTAGGTTAAGCCAATGAAAGTCTCAGTTGTGACTATTATACATATGAAATTTATGATAAATAAAAAAAATCATAATTCAATGAATTAGCGTTAGGATTAAAGTGGAGTTTGAGTTGATTCAATGACAATTAAAGAAAATAGGTTGTCGTGATCCAAGATTGGTGAAATTATCGAAGATTAGGAGTGGGGTTCTCTCGTAGAAACGCTTAGTTATAGATGCATAAAAAAAATATGTCTCGGCTCTTCTAGCATAAAAAAATATTATCTTTGTTAGTTATAGATGCATTACAAGCCAATCACGTGAGCAATAACACTTGTGACATGTTATGATGATCTCTTGCTTATTATTACTGGTATTTTATCACATATTATCTGGATGTATATTGTGATATCCTTGTATTTATGTAATGAGAATTGGATCATGATGAGATCATGATAATGAAACCAATTTTCCTTTAAACACAAACTCTGAATCATCCTAGTCATAGGTTACTCGAGAAGAACATTGAGATAACCGGATAGATAGATACGTTGTATATTCGTCCATATGATGGAGACGACTAGTCTTATAGTCGCTTGTGTGGGGACATTAAAGGTATAACGCAGGTGCTCATTGGAGAATGAGTTCACTCATTAATCCGTTTACGGAATGCTGAATGATTAATGATCCTTGACATCAAACAGTGATTTCGTAGTCCTAGTTGTGTTTAGTCTTTAGACTTGAGATACTAAAGATGTATTATATGAGTACTCCATTCTTTGATGCCGGACTTACATGTTTGAAAGTTTCACATATGGTACGGTTGGTTCTCGGGAATGATAGCCAACATTACGAAGGCAATTCAGTATTAATAGAAGATCATCTACTCTCGATATCACGAGTGGAATATCCCGTGTGTGCTCGCTCAAGCAAAATCTATGGCTAGGGTCATTTGAATCGAGAGAGAAAAAGTTCTTCGGGAGAATCTGATTAGAGAGAGACTCGGACAGGATTCCGTATGGGCCTGATATTATCATATCCAATATACGATTTTTGAGATATTAGATAAATGAGGGACTATAGATATACAGTAACTAAGAATAGACAAGTCCATTGATTAGATCCCATGTACCATTTGAGGGCTATAGCGTAGTGGCCTAGTACGTTCATAGTTGATGAGCTGAGTAAATTATTATGGAGATAATAATTCACTATATTAGAATGAGTATTGAGTCAAAAAGAGTTATAACAGGATTGACTCATGATCGGCTCGGTATCGGGCCTAGAGGGTCACACACATATGGTGTACATTATAATGAATAGAGGTACAAATATGAGATATCCACAGAGCCCCTAGTTTGAATCATGTAGATAAGGTCCATAATTGGATAGAGATCCAATATGGATAGGATCCATTAAGGGTTAAGCTACTTGCACCTCTATAAATAGGAGGAACTTCATGGTTCATAGGCTAGGCTAGAACTTCTGGTGGTCACCCCTCTTATTCTCCTCAGCCTCATCTTCTCCTCCTTGACTTTGGTAGCCTCGTGGTGTGCATGGAGAGGGAGATCTCGTAATAATCCAAGGAGCCTCGTTGCTACGTCTGCTGTGTGGATCACCATTAGAGAGGAGTACGTGAGTTCTCTTTCATCCTCTCTATTATATATAAAAATATTAAAGATATACGATCTCCCTATATAACACTTCTCATATGATATGTATGGATCAGTAGAATCTTTATAAGTTGTGGACATAGAGTTTAACTTTTGAGGCACAATGTGAGACTATTGTCAAAAACAATTCTCAAAATAATCGCTGTAGCATCTAAGTAAAAAAGTTTCAAAGTGATGGAATGAGGAGAGAGAACAGAGCGGCTACATTAACAAAAAGTTTATTCTTTGTAGTCAATAATATATAATTTAAAGATTTTAAGAAATATTATCTAAATGTTTTATGCTTCGAAGAATATTTTATCGTGTTCTACTTGGGATGAGATAGTGGAATTGGATGTTGTCCCTATCAACAAATGTAACTAGTCTTTATCATATAAC